TCAATGGCAAGAGAGGGCCACGCCAGAGATTTTCGTACGATCTAGGATGACAACGATCAGGAATTCGGCAGATCGGCCGTTGACTCAGAAGATATATACGATTGGATACAACGTTTCTACCTTGAGTCGCGCGGTTCAGAATTCCCTGGTACTGTAAACCCAATTGTGCTTCAAAAAATGTTTCACCAACAGTCCAGCCCGTGAGGGAACATTGAGACGGCCTATCTCAATAAAAAAGCCTCTTCAGTGTACTCTATCAACGAGATCATGTTCACGAAGATCATCCCTGACAAAGATATTAGAGACAAGGTGGTAGGAATCTCATCTCGCCCTGGAGAAGAAACATATCGTCAGGCCCGGGATCAGCTGGTGACGATATTGATTGATGGGCGAGGAGGGATTCTTCAGACCGTAAACCACTATTTCGCCGACAATCTATCCTCGACCTGCCAGGAAAGGGGGTTTCAGTCGAGTTGGTGAGTATCCACTCTTTTGCACTAGTGTGGTGTGTTTTATTGGGGTGGCTGGGTCATACTGTCGGCCCTCTATGGTGCGATTGGTGAGCGATCCACAGTACCAGGAGCTGGCTCAGTGCGCCGGGCCTGAGCTGGCTGATGCGCTCACTGAGCCTGATCAGCATTGCCTGGGCCCGATTAGGAAATCTCACCATCTACCCTCCGAATGTCAATCTTTTGCAGGTACGAAAATCCAATCGCTGGAAACTGATCGTACTGGAGTTTCTATGGGCGCGACAGAGGTATGGAAGTGTGACTGCGAATGGAAGAAAGCAGGGGCCGAGCAAAACCAATTGATTTGCATCGTTTTCTCTACCAGACGTGATGGTATGCATGACGTGTTGTTTAGAAACCTAAACCGGATCGAGGGCAGGAGGGTATTCATCGCATCCAGCGGGGTGCGGTGTATTTTTGGGCACGAAACATACGGACCCTTACATACAGACATCAGATTTTCCAACACAGATGATGACAACGCCTGTTATCAATCTTATCAACCCGCTTCCCGCCCGAGAACCAAGAAGACCAAGCTGCCAAAAAAAGGATCTGGTTGTGTTGACCTGCATGGCCAAGACGTCGCTTCTCAGCAGATGCTGGCCCGCCGTTCTTCCATGGTCCCTGAACAAGATGGATGGCAGCCTAGAAACTCGATGTGAGACATCTTATCCATCTCGGCAATCTCAAATCAGGTAAACCAATCTGACTTGCAGCAACAGGGGCCCGAATTGATCAAACGGTGGTAGGCTAGTTAGTGGGAAGCGGAAATCGCAGATCCAAGCAACAGCAGCTCGACCTCGCGAGTTGAACCTTCGCACCGCAATCATCTCACGATGGATTTTACTATCCTTCAAGCAGCGTGGGGTTATGATGAAGCAAGAAGTAGTGGGTGAATCTCTACCTACCGGAAAACCAGCATCATCATCGCCACAGAGGCGGCGCTTTCTGCGGCAATTATTCGGAATCAGGGCACACGGCACTGAACAACGGGGGGAAAAAAAAGGGTCCAACATATGGGGAGCCAAGCGCACGGAGCCCGCGGACCACGAGAGTCTCCGCTCTGGAAATTTAGGCCACCACGTTTCTGTAGGCTTGATTCTAGTCATGGAGAAGTAGGGAATTATTTGATGATGTGCTACCTTCTAGATAGACCTCGAAACTGATCAGAAAGGACTTGTTCTTTTATTCGATTTTCTGCATCGATGAAATCCGCGTGGCATTGTTGCCAAGGACTCCCTCCAAGAAATCGCGGGCTTGGCTCCTCGCTTTTGCTGCGAGGGCCAAGGGTCCGGTCACGACCTCGGTTACGAGTCTTCGTTTCTTGGCTCACCCACCGAGTGCAGCCACTCGAGAGTGGTTCGATGTGCTCCGGAGGATACCCGCTTGCGGATTGATTAGATCCTTGGCTGTTCTTGGCGGGCGAGGGGAGGGGAGCAGTGCTCGTCTCAGCTCTTGGTGGAGGAGGCACCGAACCAGGCTTCGGGTCGGTGAGGTTTGATGATATACAGGACCACGCTGTAATTGCAGACTTTCTTGGACTTGCTGCATAGGTTGCATTCTTCTGCTATAGGCAGAGAGGTATCTGAACAAGTGAGGAAGAAGACACAATGAACTGGACAGGTAATAGAGTTTTCTTTCACGGCACGAGCAACCAACGAGGAATTACCCCCCTCCACACCTTCCAGCGAAATCGCACGAAATGTCACCGAACCACCTAACCCTAGCGTGGCGATGGTATCTTATCAGATGCAGCATCCTGGGTTCCACCTCGGACCAGGCCCGCCACTTGGAGGTGTCGCCAAGGGCAAACCAAGACATTGGGAGGGGAATCGCTCACCCGGTTGATTGAGAATACGCAGGCGTGACACAGACAAGGCTTGGCCGTGCAAGGGCTTCTTAAAAATGTCTCACGCCCGCAGCCCAAAGGATCGATTGGCAGATCGACAAAAGTTTTTTCTTTCTTCGCTTTCTCTCCCACCGCCTCCCCTGCCTGTCGGACACGGTTCGATTGCTCAGTCACCATGGCCCTGGACAACAAGAGCCATGCCCCTCAAGTCGATGAGGATCCTCTTCCCATCGAGCGCGAGGCCTCCCCGGATCCGTCACTTCAGAACCAGGATCAACAGGATGGTGTTCGCGTTGCGGAGGCGGTCACCGCTGTCTGGTCCAAGAAGGCTCTCTACTTCTCCTATGGATGGTGAGTGCAGGTTAGCCTGTGTGTCTGGAAAGACTTGGGGCCTGAGACAGACTAACTAAAGGGCCATAGCATGTGGATGCTCTACTTTGTCAGTGGGCTGAACAACAATCTTACCGCCAACCTGTCGGCCTACATCACCAGTGACTTCTCGGCGCATTCACTGTTGACGGTCATCAGCATCGTCACCAGTGTCATGGGTGCTGCGTGCTTGCTGCCGATCGCCAAGGTGCTGAACCTGTGGGATCGAACGGTCGGTCTGGGTATCATGGTTCTCATCGCGATGATGGGGTTGATCATGATGGCGGGCTGCAACAACATCGCAACCTACTGTGCTGCGCAGGTGGGTGACCCCAAGGCGAAAATTCTTCTTATCGTGTACAAGCATTGACAAACTGACACTGCCTCTCCTAGGCCTTCTACACGGTCGGCTTCACGGGCGTGATCTTCTGCGTGGACGTCCTCACCTCCGACACCTCGTCCCTGCGCAATCGTGGCATTGCGTTCGGCTTCACCTCCTCGCCGTACATTATCACCGCATTTGCCGGCGCACCTCTCTCGAACCAATTCCACGAGACGAACTGGCGCTGGGCGTATGGAACCGTCTGCATTTTGTTGCCCGTCGTTGCGCTTCCGTTGATCTTGACCTGGGAGATGGCCAAGCGCAAGGCTGACAAGGAGGGTCGGTTGCAATACAAGCCCCGCAGCACGCGCACCTGGTGGCAAAGCATCTGGTTCTACATTGTGGAGTTCGATGGTGTGTATCCCCAATCCCCAACCCCTTCCACCACCCAAGTCACATGGCCCCCATGATGCATCTAACACCGAGGTTTCCCTTCTAGTTGGCGGCATCATCCTCATGATCGGCGGCCTGATCCTCTTCCTGACCTCGTTCAACATCGCGGGCAACACGGAGGACGAATGGAAATCCCCTAAGATCATCGCCATGATGGTGGTGGGCTTCTGCGTGCTGCTGCTGTTCGTGGTGTACGAGCGCTGGGGGGCGCCCAAGCCGTTCATCCCGTATCACCTGCTGACCAACCGGACGGTGATCGGGGCGTGCCTGCTGAGCACGACCTACCAGATCTCGTACTACTGCTGGGCGAGCTACTACACCTCGTTCCTGCAGGTGGTGTACAACACGAGCCTGACGCAGGCGGGGTACATCAGCTCGATCTTCGACCTGATGGACCCGATCTGGCTGATCGGGTGCGGGTACCTGATCCGGGTGACCGGCCGGTTCAAGTGGCTGCTGCTGTGGGCGGTGCCGCTGTACCTGCTGGCCAGCGGGCTGATGATCTACTTCCGCACCCCCGGCCACTCCGTCGGCTACATGTGCATGTGCCAGATCTTCCTGGCCGTCGGCGGCGGCACCCTGATCCTCATCGAGCAGGTCGCCGTCCTGGCCGCCTCCTCCCACGAGGAGTACGCCGCCATGCTGGCCCTGCTCAGCACCTTCGGCAATGTCGGCGGCGCCGTCGGCAGCAGCGTCTCCGGCGCCATCTGGACCAACACCCTGCCCCAGAAGCTGCGCCAGTATCTCCCCGCCGATACCCTCGACCAGTGGGAGGAGATCTACGAGTCGCTGGATGTTCAGCTCAGCTTCCCGGTCGGGTCGGAGACCCGCATCGCCATCCAGAATGCCTACGCCTCCAGTCAGCGCAATATGATGATCGCCGGTACGGCGTTGATGGGTCTGTCTATTGCCTGGGTGCTGATGATCAAGAACATCAAGATCAAGGAGAACAAGGATGTCTCCAAGGTGCTATTCTAGAGTAGGCGTGTGAGGTGGGAGCTGGTGCTGCTGTGTAGGTCGTGGGGAGGTGTAACCCCGGTCGCTGAGACTTTCTCATAATTATATGTAAACTTTGGGAGCGACGATCTGGCATCGATGCCAAGTCGCTCCAATCTGTTCTAATATTTTTATAAATCTAATAAGCTTCCTCACTTTCAACAGAATTTAGACATTCGATATCGTATCCAGGAACGCTTCAGTGCGGCAGTATGTGTTCCCGCGCTTGATCCTCTCAGCGGCAATGCATAATAACGGTGGGATGCACGTAGAGACTCGTGCCCCATGAGGTGTCTACTATGCTATGGCTCTCCATGTGAACTGACTGTATTTTCTACTCGGCTCCCTGGGGCTAAATCCATACTTCTAGTAGATGGCAAGTGATTCGAAGCATGTCCACGGGCATGACTACTGATCTACTGCAGAAGAGCTTCATGTTTCCTAGTACTATGCTAGTCGATGGATAAGAGAGTGTAGCTACAGCCACACCAATCGATTCCTGCATAAGATGACGCGACTAAAGTTATCTGTTCCCCATCCCGAGAGACACAGCCTGGCCACGAAGCGGAAGTCAAGACCATTCAAACCAGAAGCACGACCCGTCCAGAGCAGGAGAACACGACCGCACGAGAGGCGCTCGACGTTACAAGAACCCGGATTCCCACCTCTCCATGGTTTGGTTCTCCTCTATTGCTGGGCACAGCCAGTGCCGCCGCCGCCGGGGTTGTCGACAATCTCCTCGGGCCCGTCCTCTTCCTTCCACGGACAGTGAATCTCGTCCAGCGGCCACAGCCGCTGGTAGAGCGCCCTGGCAGCGATCCACTCCTGATCATCATCCCAATAGCCATCAGAACTATGCGAGAAGGCCGCCACGTTGAATCATCAGCATGTGCCTCTCAATGCTCGAAGAAAATCGAGGAACGAGGGGAAAGCAACAGAATCGATTCAAGGAATCAGAAAAGAGCCAGCTACGCACCTGACATCCACCGCCTGAGGCGCCAGCATCGCAGCCCGAAGCAGCACACACGCCACCACCTTGTCAAAGGGCTTGCGGGCGGTCTTCACGAAGTTGAAAGACCCGTCTTCCTTGACGCCGATCACCAGCGGCTCGTGCCCGTTCTTGCCCACCCCGTTGAGGTCGATCCCCTCGTCCACGGACACGATCGGGGGCGTGCTCATCTCGTACCCGTTGGGGTGGTACTCAGGAGGCCCGGTTAGCGGAACGCCCGCGGCGGCGATGATGGTCTGCGTGTCGGCGATCAGGCGCGGCCAGATCGCCGCCCAGCCTTCGCTGCCGGAGTTCACGTGGAAGTAGTGGGTGTAGCTTCGGGTGCGAGAGCGTTAGTCACTGGGCTGGGATCTGGGGATGATGGGGAGATTGGTGAGCTCGCACTTACCCCATGTTGTGTGTGGTTTCGTGTCGAGGTACGGTAGGTAGGTTCTTATGACAGTTGTGGTGGTGAGGATTCAAGACTGGAGTTGGAGACGGAGAGGCAGAGAGAGTGTAAGGTGGGAAGATGAGAAAAGTAGAAAGATGAGAGAGTGACAAGGTGGAAGGAAGAGGGATGGTAATGGATTATAGCAGATTGAGCAAGTGTGTGTTACTCCAAGTGAATGGAAGTATAGTTAGTACTGTACTGTACTGTACATGTACAATGCCTCCTTGCGCCGTGCGTGGTTTGCTGCCTGTCCCCGCAGCGGCTGCCTGGCACATTTCAACCACTGACTTCATATGGCGCAGTGAATGATCCAAAAGTTTACTGCTAAGGAAAACAGTACTTTTATCATCATACCTGTGGGCGTCATTCCTAGGGAAATCGAAGCTTGGTTTTTTGAATCTTCGAAAATCCCTATCAACCGTTAGATTTTGAGAGTAGTTTCTCCCCTAGTGAATTTTGAATATCTATACCAACGCCTTTCCCCAATTCTAAGGTCCGCACAGTCAAAGCCTGCCCCTATTGTGCATTCGATGGGAAAGATTCGCAAAAGCCGCAGGAATAGTCGAGATAGCCACTGATTCCCATCCTCATCCCCATCCACATCCAGTATGTTGCTGAGATCCTCTGCTCCACTCATTATCAAAAAGAAACTGCCGCGCTGAGCTTCCGGTCCACAGACTCAATCTCGCTATATCTCAACCCCAAGGCACGTCATACTCGTAGCCTACCACGGTCGTAGATTGCTCTCGCCCCAGGACAATCTGGTCACCTAGCACAGGTCTCGGTCTCGAGATGATTCCTGAAAGGGCGCATGCGTGTTGTTGCAGATAACATTGCAGCGTTGAGATGGAGGTGCTGGTGGCCAGGGCTGTGTAGTTCGTGCCACAGGTGCCGCTGGGGATTCCCTTCTGGAGAAAGGTCGAGTAGTAAGATCCGGTAGCAGGAACTGACATTGTCGATGTAGGCGTTCCAGAAACAGTAGCGGGTGTCGCAGCTTCGAGAACGATGGTAATGAGGGGGTGGGGTTGGGAAGAACCATATGTGGTGGCCCTTGGACCCTTTGAAAGCTTGACTATCATTTATAGAGGGGAAAGCGTCACTTGGGTAGTTTAGTATTAGTCACTCCGAAGACGAGTCTCGCTCATGAGTGGTGGAGATTTGGGACAGGTGTGGATTGCATCAGATCAAGCCCTTTGTTTAGAAGCTTTGCTAGCCTTAGCAAAGCTTGTTGGCTCCATTGGCGAGCTCATGACAGGTTATGACAGCCGATCGACAATCGTGGTCCTGGACTACTCTAGGATGGGACATAAGATCACCTGCTGCTTGAGATCCCAATGTCTCCACGCGGCTTCTGGCACGAAAAGACGGGTAAAAAGACCGATCTATGTGGTCCTTGAGATTCGATGATTTAGAATGATGGCAGAGCCCCCAGCCTGGAGGGTCATTACCCTGCCTAGGTAGCGCAAACCTAGATCGACTTGGGAGATTGCAACTTGACTCGGAAGAACTGTGGGAAGCTCACCTACCGGTGGCTTGATTGGTGATCGTTCTTTGTCGACTCGTTCTTAACTCCGAGCCGCGGTTCCGTTCCCCGGCGTCAGCCTTATTTCTTACTCCCGGATGTACCCATAGCCTGGGTAGTATACTGAGTACAGAGTAGACGGTAGGTCCTTGAATAAATGCATCATTCGGCCATCGAGAGGGATGCATACACCGTGGCCTGTCAATTCGATGACTTCTGCATAGTAACCTCTACTACTCATATAGCCGATCATGTAGTCGGACATGGGCTAATACCGCCTCAATCGCCAAAATGACTTCGCAAGACGAGCCTAGCATGTCTCCTCTTTATGGTATGGTCGGCCGTGTATGTATGACCAAACTTGCTCAGTCCATCTGTAGATAAAACCCAGATTTGCAAAGGTAAATCCATGAGTAGCAATTAACCCCGAGGTGGGACGGGGCGGGCCTCGGGCCTCGGCAAGCTCCGAGCTCGGGGGGTTTCTCGGCTGGCCCCGACTTCACCACCATTCTCAAACAGATAGGAAAGAGACTAGGGAGTCTCAAAGATCGACATTAAAATGTCTTGCTGGTTTAGCTTGTCGCAATGTAGAGGGAAATAAAGGCTATCTTGTCTTCTCGCGTGGGGGCAGCAAGGGTGGCAAGACCCCATGCTCGATCTCTTCCTGCTGTTGCAATCTCAAAGTAAACTATCGCAACACGGGCTTTGGACCTCGCAAATACTACATATCAAGCTTGGGACACGGGTCGCATTTCTCTGGAGACTACTCCTCACAAACAGGGATCTGGTATTTATCTTGCGGAGTTGGTCTATATATACAAAGTAGTGAAGACGACTTGTCTGACGCAGTCAGAGCAAGGGCTCGAAAATTAAAATTAGAGAAGAGCAGCCAAAAGACCAGCGCCAACCATGGAAATCGCAGATCCATAGGAAAGACTGTTCGCGCCACCAGTGTAGACAGCACCAGAGCTGGAGGCAACAGCCGAGCCACTGACCAAGGTGCTCTTGCTGGAAGTGGTGGTGGAAGTGGCGTTGCAAGTGGAGTTCGAGCTGGTAATACTGGTGTAGTCGCCGGTCTTGTCGGAGTAGGTGTAGCTGCATGCCGGGCTGTAGTTGGTGATGTTCACCGACTCGAGGTACATGATGAAGGGACCAGCGGTATAGTCAGTCTCGCCACCCGCCCATTCTGCAAAACACGTTAGCAAAACAACATCGATAATCATCAAGTGCTGCAGTTGGCTTACCGATGGTTCCAGCGCTGTTGCTTGGGTCGCCACCAGCCCAAATTCCGATCTTGACAACCATGGGGGTCTGCGGGAAGTTCGTGCCATCCACAGCGTCGGCGTATTCGAGGGTGCGGACCACAGTTCCGTCAAGGATCCACTCGATTCTTTCCGCAGTCCAGTCAACGGCATAGGTGTGGTACTCCTCAACGGGATCAGTCAAATCCACGTTGGTGTACCGGTCGTAGCTTGTGGTGTTGCCTTTACCGAAGTAGTCAGTCTGGACGTAAGTGTCGAAGGTTGAGATTTGTTCCTGGGATAGTGGTCAGCGTCTGACTGTTTTACTTGTTGGGAGCCCAAACTTACCCAGTCAATCTCGTCAAGGTCATCGGACTCCATCACAAGAGTGCTGATAATACCGGTACCGTTGGCACAGCGGAACTTGGCTTCCACTCTTCCGAAGAAGATGTAGAAATCAGTCTGGATAGTGGGAGCATCTCCCTCCTCCTTGATCTCGAATTTGGCACCCAAGGAGGTGCTGTTGACCGTGCCATCAGTCGTGGTCCACTTGTTAAACGCGGAAGATCCGACGGTGAAATCAGTGCTGAAAGACCACTGGTCGAGACCAGTATCGGCGGGACAGGTCTCTGTTGTGACGATCAGTTAGCGATAGGCTCAGACTCGAGTTCTCCGCATTAACATACTGTTCAAAGGGTTGCAGTCGGTGTAAGTCTGAGCTGCGCACAAGGGCACTCCGGCGGCGAGGGCAGCGGCGGCCCACTGCATGTAGGACTTCATGGTTGTATTGGCTGTGTGTAACGAATGTGAGATGGTAAACGAATGAGAAGTTTTCGAAACGAACGAGAAGAGTTTCGTCAGAGATATAGAGAGCGAACGTCCGATGGCTGGAGCGAGAACAGGGAAGTGCCGGAGGTTTATGGGCAAGCGCAACCAAGGCGCAGGTGGGCTGTTAGGGGGCTGGCGCAGCGTGCGAAGGCAACAGCGAATATGTCGTCCTTGGGACTAAGTTCGTCTCTGATCAAAAGCGCCTCCACCGGGTGAAATGAAGGACGTATGCATATTAGGTGTCCAAGCTCTCATTGGCGGGGTGAGTGGAACTGTTGGCCGACGACGACAGCCTTTGCTATGTAATTGTTCGCGGGCCATGGGGCCATGAACTGGTGCAAAAGCTTGACTGGACGATGACTGGGCGGCTTGCGTGCTCGAAAGCATGCATGTTGCAGAGCGGAAAGTCGACGTCTCCTTGAATACTTTTCCGCTGGCAAGAGGCGCTCGGCTCAAAGAGGGAAAGTGCCGTCGTGGACAGTGGAAACGCGGTGGATCTTCCCTCGATATACTACTCGGTACATGAGTTCGTTTGACGCTGAAAGCCACAGAGCCTACGTTTGAACATGCATCCTCCCCAGATTCCTACCCAATGAACTGATCAAGCCACCCCGAGATGGTTGCTCATCGTTCCCTACCCACAGGATCTACAGCTAAGCCCATCGCAAGTTGACAGCCCTCAGCCGCCGCCCCATGAATGTCTGAAACTGTGATGTTGCGAACTCCACCCCCATTCATTGCCGGTCATTGTCAGTCAGGGGACAATATTAACAACCGATATAGTAGCATGCTCTTGCAATAGGGGTAGCGAGAGCTGAAACACGCTTTGAAGGCTTAGGACTGTGGGAGATTGTAAAGAAAGACTCGAACTCCACCGTCTCCTGGGCCGGGTGTCTTACGTAGACAACCTCCCCGCTAGTCCGTTTTCGCTTTGCACGTGATCGAAGCCTTACGTATCACGACCACGCCAGAGACTCCGTTGGTTCATGCTTAAATATAGACTCTCCGACCTTGGAACTGGGGTATCTTGCGAGGCCTCTTGGCCGGCTTTAAAGGCATCTACGATTGGGTCACACTCCCGTAAGCCAGAGGACATATTGTCACGTGACTTTACATACAGCAAAGCAGTGAGCCCGCAAGGCCGAAAGACAGCAAGGCAACAAGGCATCCAGTTTCTAATCTAAATGCTAACCGCCCGACACCTGCAAGACCCAAAATACCCCAACAAATGAATTCCACAAATACCATCCAGTCAATACTGTACTCACCCATTCACGGTACTGAGCATTTTTACACTCCAATGCAAGACTCCCAAGCTGTTTATTTGACTCCCAACTTGACAGGCTCGAGATGGCGTCTAAATGCTTCCTCCAACGAGATCAGTGGTTCGCTTGCAATCTAGTCATGATACAACATTAGAATTACATCATTCTTCACCAGACTCTGTCAGGGTATTACCTCGCGAGCCTCCTCAAGTGTGTTGTTATGGAAGTAGCCATACTCCTCAATGTACTGGAAGACCTGGCACAGGTCTTCCTGAAAGAACTCAGGTAGTCCCCTTGAGGCAAGTGCAGCCTTGAACGTCTCCTTGGGCAGGGTCTGGAAGACTACAGACCTGCCCAGGTTGTTCAAGGTCTCCACTATCTCTCTGACGGTGTAGTATCTTTCCGCGACATCCAACTGTTTGCCAATTGTCTCTTTCGGGCGAAGCAGAATACCCTTCACGAACTTGCCGACATCGGCTGCTGCGTCAACCACAGGCAGCACGGTGTTGATGTTGGCAGGCTCCGGCAAGCACAGGCTGAAAGTTGGGGGTTCAGTGGATAGAGGAGCGAGGAAGAAGTCTATAATGAAGGGCGCATAAGCTCCAATGTTGATGATTGTGTGAGGGATCGCTAGAGACCGAATGTGGTCGTTAACAACGGCTTTGCCATCCCAGTGAACTGCGCCGGTGAGTTTACTGTCGGTAACTATTTCAAGTAGCAAGACAATTAATCGAGTGCGACTGTTGGATTGATTCACTACTCAAGAAGAGGTATGAGGCGACTTACTCTGCGAAATATGCGGCAGACTTGACCAGATCAGGTGCTTAATGTCCAGCTCCTGTTTTGATTAGTTCGAGTTCTCGGATACCAGAGGCTGACCCTACCTTTGCAACATCAGCCACAAGCTTCCCCTGCCTTGTCTCTGCAGCAAAATCAAAGCCTTCCATGTTGGTGACTAGGTAGACCGCATAGGCGCCCTGAAGTGCGGCATAGACTTCTTCCTTTTCGTTGAGGCTTGCCTGATCTTTGTGGTTAGAGCCATGGTAATGTATCGGCAGATGTGTATGCTTACCTTGACAACCTCTGCACCCTGTTGAGCGAGGGCCAACGCAGCTGGCTTGGAAGGGTCCCTGGTGATAGCTCTCACCTTGAACTGCCGAGAGGTATCAGGGTCGCTGAGAATGGCTCTCAAGACTGAGCCACCTTGGGCTCCGGTGGCTCCAAAAACCACCAAGACCTTTCTGTTATCAGATGACATGTTAAGGATTTGTGTATGCTAGGTGGGAAAGGTGACTCGGAATGATAGATTGATTGTTCTCTTGAAGCAATCGAGCAGTTATGAGACGGTTTTTATATCTCCATGGACCGTCGATTGAGGGGTTGTCAGATTCATTCTCCATAGATTTGAATATCTTCACACTCGCAGTACAGAGCGCTGATTGGCTAATTCGCAATACCTTCCAAATAGAGCTAGCGCCACTGCTGCCCGCAGGTGCCGAGTCTCGTTACTCTCGGAGTAGGATTCCTTGTCATCATGAGAACCTTACCTCACATCATCATCCGTATTTGTAATGATTTGCAATCTGTTCTTCGAGTTGCAAAGGCAATATAATCATCACTTGCGCTGACGTGTTGGGGGGACATTCCACGGTACTGGCCTCATATGGGACAATGGTTCGCCACGGACGGCTGTCAACAGGCTGCCAAACTTGCAGGAAGCGGAAGATTAAAGTAAGCCCATCTTGCCTCTCTGCGATCTACAAGTCTCATGAAGTAAATCTTGTGCAGTGTGATAAGCTGCGTCCAGCCTGTACACAATGTGCTCGATCTGGCTGGCAGTGCCCGCAGGACGCCGACTCCATTCATCGAATGTTTATATATTGTGACCTGCAGAGAACAGCGACAAACAAAGGCACTTCATTGCACACAACCACATCAAGGATTTCATCTTCCAATGCGAAGCAAAAAATCTCTACCGTACCTCAGAGGAAGTACCTCGATCTGGAATCAAGTATTCCGATGGAGGTGGTGCAGCCTCTACATTACCGTGCAACCGAATACTACCTAGCAAACCATGTCTTGCGACCGACCGGAGCGATCCGGGGCTATAATGAATACTTTTATACGTTCAGCGCGGAGGTGCTGCGAGACCCGATGGTTGCCACCAGTCTGAGTGCAGTCGGGCTCGCGGCCTACTCTCACAAGTATCAGTATCCCGAAATCTTGAGCGAAGCAAGGTGTGAATATGTCCGATCCTTGCGATTCATTAATTCAGCACTCTCGTCATCACAAGCAAACGCGGCAACTGATGCGATCGTCATTTCGATACTGCTTCTCATCTCTTACGAGTCTCATACCGCTGAGACCAGGCGAACTATCCCAAACCGCTATGCGCATGTGAAAGGCGCAGCGACGCTATTGTGTCTGCGAGGAGACGAGTCTATCTCGTCTTGTCCGAGACGGCAGTTATTTCATCACCTGTTCGCATGTATCTCGGTACATTGCATTATCCTATCGGTTCCAATACCGGGTGATTTAGTCCTCCTACATGAAAAGGCCTTGAAACATGTTGATACTACGAACAATCCTGCATGGCGGTTGTCGGAGATGATCATCCAGGTGACCGAGTTTCGTGCTGACATACGATCGGGAAGGATACAAGAACCACAGAGCATAATCATCGCCGCGCAAGCACTTGACAGTGAGCTGACTTCATTAGCGGACACCTTTCCGTCCTCTTGGCAATTTGAGAATTTTGATCTGCTAGAGAGGTCAGAGTTGGTCTTTGGGGACAGCTTCCATGTCTACCCAGACCTATGGATCGCTTACAACTGGAATAACCTTCGAGCATGCCGGATGATTCTGCTTGATGAGATTCGCCAACAATTCGAGAAAAGTACGGTATCTGCACAGCCCTGCATGATGGCTGATCCGATACAGCATCAGCAAACCTTGAAGAAGCTGTACCAACTGAGCTCGGACATATGCGCAACAGCCCCACAGCACTGTGGCTATCACTTGGAGTTGCTTAATGGCAGCGGCTCAAACGGGATCTCAAACCCATTCAAGCGTCTTAGGCATGATGATCCAAGTATTCCAGGAGATGCCGGTGCACACCTTCTTTTTTGGCCCTTCATAAATGCCGGGCAGCTTACTCCATCTCAACACCAACGAAACTGGATCGCTGGTCGCATTCCTTCCGTGGGTCAGCAGGGAGCTCTGATTGCCGATATTTTGAAGTTGGGACAGCGACTGTTCTGATGTGGTGGAAGAGGCTACATAAAGGACTTTGAATTTGAGTAGACTGAAGAGTGAAAATTGCATGCAATTCAGCTCAAACAACACCCTAGACAAAATGTCATAAGAGAAAGTGGACAATGACTTGATTTTGTCGTAGGTAGCAGAGCAAAGACACCACCTACATCAATTCAGCATGTTAGCTCAGGGGAAGAGCGCCGGGCTCATAACCCGGAGGACCCTGGATCGAAACCAGGACATGCTAACTCGAGCATTTCTTTTTTTTTTTTTTTTTTTTTTTTCGATTTTCTGTCCTTGCCGAAAAATCCGACCGATGCAGACCCCAAAGCACTTATCGGCCTACCGGTCTTATCGTGTTGTTTATCCGACACCATCCGGACCAGCGACAGTTAAAGATTCCGAGTCGAGGCGATGGACACTACAAACAGGTGAACATTGCTTCTCGCTTCTACACCCTCGTCCTGGAACTAATGAATCAGATCGGTGTCGGCGTGCCTACGCTGCCGACGACAGAAGCTCAAATGTGGAGGTCCCGGCAAAGTCCCTTGTGCGAGGTGTAAAGCGAGCCGCGCTGAATGTGTCTTTGTGAACCCCCGGGCATCGCGTGCCTCGAGCAGGTCTAGGCACCTTGCTGAAGAGTTAGAGTGAGTTTGACACGATTGCGTTTGTCATGAACTTCTTGCTCACATCGCAGTGATAAATGGTCTGCCTTGGAACAGCGGATGAATAGCTTGGAGGAGAGACACCAGAAAGATTTGAGAGAACTACAAAACACCGTCTCTCGACTGTGCGACCGGCTGGAGCCTAGTACAAGGAGTGGGCGTGAGGTCTCATTGTCGAATGATGAGCTGCTCGCTGCGAATCGAGCCAAGGATACGACCTCATTTGACATCGTGCGATGTGGTACGGTTACTGAGGATGAGTGGGAGGAGCTTTATAATTTGTGAGTACACGGCTTCTGCCAAAATCTTCACTAATGATTCGTGTATGTATATTCTTACGTGGAACTCAGCTTTGATGAGCACTGCCGGACAGTCATCGCATTCATGGATGACCAGCTCTACTCAGCGGCGCACGTCATCCGCAAACAACCTCTGATGGCGACGGTGATCTGTGTCATTGCATCCAAGGCAGTCCGTCCCGAGAATTACGCCACCTATCTTGTCGCCGCAGATCAGATAATCAGCACCACGTTCTCTGGCGCCATAGATCTATACACTGTCCAGGCCATGATGCTTCTCGCCGCCTGGACTGGCAGGCATCGTCTATGGGGATATGTCGCTTCTATCGCCGTGGAACTAGGTTTGAATGTGGCTGCGTTAAAATTGGGGGATGGTTCTGTCGAACACACAGCAGACTTGGTCGGTTCCGCTAGAACGTGGTTCTCGTTGTGTTGCTTTGACCTAATGTAAGCCCGAAAGCCATCAGGAGCTGAGTTGTAGACTGACGGTTTCGATGAGGATCAATCTTGATCGGCCATTTGTCATTTACAATATTATGGACTACCTGCCCGTTGCTTCTCAGCTTCTAGCTTCTCCTCACTGCAGACCGGTGGACTATCGGCTTTGCGCGTATTTGCAAGGGTTTTCAATTACCGGTTCGAGGTCCCTCCCGTTACACGGCGACGACAACCAACTGACAATCTACAGCCGAAGCCAAAAGGCAAATAGCCGGCGCAGAATTGCGACTGGATCCACTCCCTGATAGTGTTGTTCAGAAATTGAGAGCCCTTGATCAGAAAATTGACCGCTGGTTCTACCATATCAACAATAGCATGGAGCCGCTCTACCAGACCTTTGCTAAGAAGCAAGACCGGAATCGCTTTATGGTTCCCTACGCTTTTTTGAAGATGTGTGTTTACTAATCCCACTGAAATGTTGCAACACCTAATGGATTTGGTCAATTTAGTTACGTGAACGGTCTTGCTTTGCACGTGAAGGAACCTCAACAGGGAAGCGCAGATACCAACAGGATGGCGTTCATTCAGAAAGCTCTGGACAGCGCATGTCTTCTGCTCCAAACTCAATTTGAGTCGAAGGAATTCCGACAAATGCTGCCGTATTCGGGAGACTATAATCTCGTGACTACGTACTATGCTATAGAGTTCATGTCCAAAGCTCTCGAGGTTGCTAGTGGAGCTGTGAATAGCGGGCTGGTGCTTTCGAGACTACGACAGGGGGTCCAGCTGCTGGAAGAGGCCGGGGCTGCGGAATCTGCTGACAAAGTTCGAAACGGGTTGCGAGTGCTGGAGCAGGTGATGCGGACTTCTTTACCCCCAGAAGGTCTCGTGGGAGAAATAGATCAAGCTGCGGGCGAGTCTCTTTTTGACATTCCAAATCTTTTGGATAAATGATACAAGAAGATGTGCGCCAGTGTGACGAAGGACGCAAACTTGACTAGAGTGCCGGTTCTGGAGAGGTTGATGGAAAGATTGTTGTACATAGTTATCCATGGTATATACATAGACGATAAAGGGTGACTCGATCACGACTACTGAAAGCGTCCAGCAGCTTGCATCGCCTTGTTGAAATCCTCCTTCATCCTCAACGCGAAATCGTCATTAAGCAAGACATCGATGCAGATCAGCGCGTTGGCCTTTCCTGCTCGCAGTGCCTCGACATGCCCGATTTCACTTTCCGCTGCTTCCCTGAACCCTGTCGAATGGGGGAGATCGGTCGCGTGGATGTTGAAGACGGATTGAATGCCAGGGCAGATGTAAGAACAGCTGCCGAAATCCCTGTCACAGGAGGTAAGTGGCAGGGCATTGAAGACGGTGATGATAAGTACTTACGAGCTCCCACCCAGATCGTGGGTTATCTTCGCCGCCGCTATGGGCAGCATCTCCTCGGGAGTTAGGCCGAGATGTTGTATCATGTACCGCCTGTACTGCTCTGCGAGCGTGTCGTTGGTCACGACGTCTTCATAAAGAGCGAACCTAATATCTCACATCAGCACATTCCGGATGATCCTGGACGAGAGTCGTACCAATCCAACTCGACCGTGCACCCAGTCGCAGCGGCCGCACCGTGAAAGATAGGCTCCACCCTCGCCCGGAGTTCCTCAATTTGCTTCACCGTCGGCGCCCGCACACTAAACATCCCCTCCGCATAGTCCGGAATCAGATTCGGCACCTTCCCCGCCTCCAGAATGCACCCCTGGATACTCTCACTCTTCTCAATGTGCTGCCTCAGCAACGCAATCCCCGTGTACGCCTGCACGATGGCGTCGCAGGCGTTCCGCCCCGTCCACGGCGCCCCCGCCGCATGCGCCGACTTGCCGTGGAACTTGGCCCGCAGCTTCCACGAGGCCTTGGTCATGCACACGGGCGTGCTGAAGTCCGGCATCCCGTGCGTCATGACACAGGCGTCGAAGCCCCGCCACGCGCCGTTCTTCGCCATGATCCACTTCCCGCCGTACGACTCCTCGGCGGGGGTGCCCATCACGACGACGGTCCCGGGCAGATTGCGGGATCTGATCACGGTCTCAACAGCCACCGCCGATGCGAGCGTGGAGGTGGCGATCAGATTATGGCCGCAGGCGTGACCTACGCCGGGGAGGGCGTCGTACTCGGCGTTGAAGCAGACGGTGCGTCCGCCCTCCTGGACGGAGAAGCGCGCCTCGAAGGCAGTCTCGATGCCATAGACGCTGCGTGTGACGGTCCACCCGCGCTGCTCGAGCCAGTCGGACAGGAGCTTGCTGGCTTTGACTTCTTGGAAAGCAGTTTCGGGGTTGTGGAAGAGCTGTTGGAGATATAGTTTGGTTATTGTCTGGTCTGAACTTCAGCGGGGTTATGTTGAGGCAACTCACCTCGAGACTCAATCTGCGCAGTTCTTCGCTCGCGTCATCGATGGCTCGCGCAGTCTCGGAGACGACATCTGCAGGTTGAAGAGGGAGAGGATCGGTTAGTTGGGTCATTTGCAGGACTTTCAGCGTGTGTTTTGTCTTCTCAAGCTGCTCATAGCGACAACGCAGGATGAACTATACGAGCAGGGAGCGATGTGAGGGGATCTCAGAGTTTATGTACTGGATGCGGTCATAGAGACACCCCCGCAAAAGCAGATAACGGTTGATAAGCGGTGTCTGTCATTGTTTCGGCTTCGGGCTCACTTTTCGGTCGGACCGATCCGCCCGATCCGACCGCCTTCACCCACTAGCCACAGTAGCAGGGCGCAGGTGTGGCTGCCTGAGAGGGGTCTAACTGGAGCCTGAGGCCACAATCTGTCTATAGCATGCATGCAACATGCATGAGACACGAGGCTGAATCCTCCCTCCTTCCCCCACCTCTCTGACTTCACCAACTTCTCTTCCCAAAAGACAGCCTCTAGGAATTGAACAGACACATCTCTGTCACCCAACTTGATCCTGCAATGACGACATGACATCCTATAATCATGACAACCACTCCAGCAGCTCTCCATCACCATGATTACACAATCGGGTGGATCTCCGCTCTGCCTTTGGAGATGGCAGCTGCGGCCGCGATGCTCGACGAGAGACACCCCGACTTGCCGACCAAACCGACCGACGACAACACCTACATACTTGGCAGAATTCATGTGCACAACGTGGTCATCGCCTGCCTTCCCTCCGGTGTGTATGGTACAACATCAGCCGCCACCATTGCGAGCCAAATCCGCTTGACATTCCCCTCGATTCGAATCGGGTTGATGGTGGGCATTGGCGGTGGAGTCCCTGGAACGGCGGAGGATGTTAGACTGGGAGATGTGGTTGTCAGCAAGCCAACAAGGGATTATGGTGGCATTGTACAATATGATTATGGAAAGTCGTTGGCCGGGGGAGCCTTTGCTCGACAAGGCGTACTCAACAAGCCCCCGCCTATCCTTCTCACCGCGATTTCTCGACTGCAAGCTGCGCACTTTACCAGACCAAGTCAAATCTCGTGGCTTGTGTCGCAAGCCGCCCGGTCCTCTTGCTTCGCATACCCTGGCGCTGACCGTGACATTCTTTTCGATTCCGAATATGATCACGTGAATCCAGAGAACAACTGTGCGGATTGTGATCTCGACAAATGCAGGAAGCGGTCAATTCGCGCTTCACAGGATCCGAAGATTCATTACGGGCTTATCGCGTCTGCGAATCAGGTCATGAAGGACGGTCGCTTGAGGGACAAGCTGGCCCGCGAACTTGGCATACTTTGCTTTGAGATGGAGGCAGCAGGCCTGATGGACAGCTTCCCGTGCCTAGTTGTTCGAGGCATTTGCGACTACTCAGACTCTCACAAGAGTAAAGAGTGGCAGGGGTATGCGGCGGCCGTCGCCGCCGCCTACACCAAGGAATTGCTGTCCATTATTCATGGAAAACAAGTCGAGGACGAACCATCAAAGCTCTCCACCGGCAACAGTAGGTTGTTCCTGGTGTGACATGGCAATCTCTTGACTGACCTGCTCTGCTAGTACCATACCTTTTTGGAGCACTCTCGCCGACCCCGCGCTCGTCTCAGAGTGTAACTTCACAGCGCAACGGTGAGATTAATTCCCACGTTCAGGCTGAGCTGCTGTTGATTGGTTGAAGCATTGGACAAACAGGAGGAGCTCCTAGAGCAGATTTCTAGCTACCAGCACGAACAGGTTCATAGAAGGCTTGCGCACAAAAGACTGACAGGTACTACTCAATGGTTCTTGGAGAGTCACGAATTCAAGGCGTGGTTAGAGAGACGCTCGAACAAGTTATGGTGCACTGGGAAAAGTAAGCATCCAAGTAGATGTGGTTGGCTGGTTACTGACTTGGCACTTTCATGCAGTTGGGTCTGGAAAGACAGTGATCGCGTTTGTACTGTACCCCTTCTTGAGAGGCCGAGCTGACACTGGAAGGCTAGTGCATCTGTGATCGAAAGTATCCGATACGAGCCCTCGGACCACCATGCTCCTACCGTCTTCTTTTATTGCGAACATGACCACAATGAGACTCTGCGGGCGTCTTCAGTCTTGTCTAGTCTGATACGGCAACTAAGTGAATTCCTTCATCGGAACGCAGGACCATGGCCAGCGCACTTGAAAAAAGAGATTGTAACGTTTTTTGGAAGGAGAAAGATAATGCCCGATTTCAACAACTTGGAGGACATTTTTATACAACTATTCGACCTAGTGCCGATGGCCACATATGTCTTGGATGGGTTCGATGCGATGGAGGAAGAACAATGCAAGCTTCTGCTTACGTTCATCCGCTCACTATTCTCTGGAGCAAGAGAGCTCAAAGGGCAACGCATTCTCCTCTTTAGCCGAGACCAAATACCAGGCTATCTCAACATCGCGACATTCATACCTGGGATCGGTCGGACCTCCACTTTCGACAACACCATGAGTGATATCCTGACCTACATTGACTATAGTATCAGTGATAAGTCCATGTACCGGAAGCTCACAGACGATCGCCTGTTATTAGAAGAAATCAAGGAAGTGCTGGTCAACGAATCATCCGGGATGTATGTCTCTGACCTCTTGATCCCAAACTTCAACCTTTATGCTTACGTGTTGATGCAAGGTTCCTCTGGGTCCATCTTCAGCTCGAGATTCTTTGGAGCACTTGTTTCACGGATGCCGAAGTCCGCTCAGCATTGCATCAATTGCCCAAGGATCTGGAGGAAACATATCGGTATTGCGCCAACAGAATAAACGCTCATGATAAACGAGCATTGAAAGTTCTGAAGTGGGTTGGCTTCGCGTCACGACCTTTGCACGTCGAAGAGTTAAGAGAGGCAGTAGCGTTTGAGAAACAAGACACAGCATTTGACAGCAACAAGCTTCCCCAGCGTGACTTCATCATCGGATCTTGCGCCAATCTTGTGGTCCTAGACCCGATAGACCTCTGCGTCCGATTCGCCCACTCTTCGATCAAACAGTATCTGGTGAAAAACGGTCTTCCCGGACCTCAAAAAGCCCTCCAAGAACAACCCTTCAATGAGAAACAGGAAGAAATGAATTGCGGAGAATTCTGCATTGCGTATCTTTGTTTTTCTAACTTCAGCCTTCAGATCGAGCACAAGTGCAATGAAACGAGAGACGCCGTGGTCCCCGACCCTGTATTATTTGCAGGCCCGGCGTTGAAGTCATCTCTGAGATACCTTTTTCGGGTACCAGATAGTCCCAAGCCCCAGAGAGTCCTACAGTTACGCAATATTCGCACATCAACTATCCCAGATCGAAGCCAGTACAAATTTCTGAATTATGCTACAGTGAACTGGGTCAGCCAGACGAGATCTCTTGCGAGGGACTCCCCAATGTGGGAGAAATTCGAGAAGCTTGCGACGTGCTTTAATGAGACCTGGAACTTTCATCCATGGACGCCCGGTGGCCGCTCCCTTCGCTCTCAGTTACATAGTCTTTTTGGATGGGCTGTGCGAGAAAACCACGAACCGCTTCTCTCCATAGCGCTGAATTGGAAGAAAGAGATATTGCAGGTGTGCAATCTTCCTTTGATAGACGAGGGTCTTCCAGCACTTCATGTAGCCTCCAAATTAGGGCATCACGACATTGTTCGAACGTTGGTCACATTCTGCGATGTTAACCTAATGGACGCAGTGGGATACGCACCTTTACATCACGCCATTGCCCGTAACGATACGGAGATGGCATCGTTACTGCTCAGCGCTACAAAAGCCAATACAGACCTAGTGTCAGTCAAATGTGGGACACCACTTAGTTTAGCGGTGCAACTGGGATTTTATGAGATGGCGGAACTCCTGATCCAACATGAAGCTGCTGTACAGGAGCCTCTTTGGTCGGCAATAGTGCACGGGAATGAAGAAATGATCAAGCTTCTGGTCAAACATGGGGCAGACCTGGGCTACAAAGGTGGAAACGGCCAGTCTTTGCTTGATTTAGCGGCTCGGTCCAAGCACAGAAACATGCCGAAATTCCTGCGCGGACTGACGGAACAAAAGCTTCTTCTCCTTGGTAAGTGTACTTTCTCCTCTCCAGGGCTCTGCTGCTCACAACTTGCGTAGGTGCTGCGGAGTCCGGCAAGTCAACAATCATCAAGCAGATGAAGGTTCTGTACATGCAAGGATACACACCGGAGGAATTGAGTCGGTACAGAACGACGATCTACAAAAATGTCCTGGAATGCGCCGATGCGCTATTTACGGCAATGAATGAGCTGGGAATCCATCCGCATAGTGAAGAGGCCCGATCGTACCGTTTACCAATGTCGGAGACGGGTCTGCTGCCGGATCAAACTCTCAGGCACGATGCCTGTAAACTGATATCCGCACTGTGGCATGACCCCGCTATTCCTCTGCTTATGGAGCAACGAACGAAGTTTTATTTGATGGACTCAGCACCTTAGTAGGATCCCGAATGATTGATACCAGGCCAATGGGTACTGACTTGCACCTAGTTTTCTCGATAACATAGAACGAATAGCCGCACAAGGTTATCAACCCACGGAAGCGGATGTACTGCGCGCGCGCACGAAGACCACGGGGATATACGAAACCCGTGTCTCCATCGGTTATACCAACCTCCAGTACGCGCTCCTCCCAAGCACTGACACTTATCCAGTGACTAAATCCCATCTAGTGTATTCGATGTTGGAGGCGTACGAAGCGAACGCAAGAAGTGGGTCCATTGTTTCGAGAACGTCGCAGCTATAGCGTTCTGTGTTGGGCTGAGCGAGTACGATCAGGTCCTGCTGGAGGACCCTAGCCAGGTACGGTCCTCGATGTTATTGCAGACTGTGGCAAGACTAATCTTCTGATTTAGAATCGCATGGAAGAAAGCCTACTATTGTTCGACTCAGTCGTAAATTCGCGATGGTTTCTGAAAACGAGCATGATCCTTTTCTTGAACAAGGTCGACCTCTTCAAAGAAAAGCTATCGCATTCGCCGCTTGAGAAAACCTTCCCGGACTACAAAGGCGGCGCTGACATCAATAAGGCGGCAAAGTTCATCTTGTGGAAATTCAATCAGGTCAACCGCGCCAACCTGAACCTCTACCCGCATCTGATCCAGGCGACGGATACTAGTAATATCAAACTTGTGCTCAAGTCGGTCGAGGAGACGATTTCACGGATAATCTTGAAAGATAGCGGGTTGATATAAGCATGTTGATCGGTTGCGGTTCTGCTTGGTATGCGAAAGGGTTTGCTCACTATCCAGACAGCATCGAGCTCCCCACTTCGACCCCTGCTTTCTGATGGTTGTTCTTAGTGGGTGTGCTGTAGCGGCGATTGAATAGACAGTGGTCGAGCAAGGGAGCTTTCTTCTGCTGGCTCCGGGCTAACTTGTTCGCAGCGCCCAGCCTCGACGAATCATGCGTCCTTTGCGGAGATAGGAAAGCAAGGACACGGTCACTAGAGGGAAGATCAACCTCGGAAAATAGGAAGTAGTCGTTGGAAACTGTTTTCTACATGACTCTGGATCTGTGACGATGAAAGAAGAGGAACACAGCGGTCCGACCTCGCCATAGGGACGGAAGCAGGCTCTTCACCCCCGCAGCAGCGGAGCCGACGAGCTCGAGCTACTTTGCATTGGCACAGCTGCAGGTCAGAGTTCAGCCACGAAGCTTGGGGATAAAGACTCATCCGACGCAACATGCGGAAGTGCGGGGTTGAAGAGGAGAAAGCGGGGGTGTTTTGATCGATACAATGCTTCACCGCTGTCACATGACAAGTACGCTCCTTCGGAGCTGCTGAGAAGCTACTAACTACCGGACTCTTCTAGCTTGATTACTGACCGGCCCTGGAGCGTGCAGTGAGCATAAAGGTGCGTGTTCTGAGCCACACTCTAAAGGCTTTTCCTAAGCTCTTACTTCTACACTATTACACTCCCCTATTTGTCATATCCCGCCACTAACGGCATGTCATGTCTACTAGGTACATTGTCTTTCACAGTTATTGTCTTTTTATCTATGCTACGCTTGTATCATAGCTTTGAATTGTGCATGATTGAGCATAACAGCAGCGGTCTTAAACTATTCAAGACATTATTCCATACTTTTTTATGCCGGTGGATTCAAGCTTGGCATACAGCTCGCAGTGTTTAAAAGATATAAATTTCTCTTCTCAGTCACCCCTGTCGAGCTCTGCGACGAAGAGAATTTGTCGGTAGGTACTTAATAATTACTACCTTTGCTTCTGAATCATTCTGAAAATTTCTCAGACAAAGAGACTATGTCTGTTTGTAAACTGGAGTTGTTATACTACCTTTCTTGCCAGCAGCTCTTTAACGCCCATGTCAAAGTTTCTGGTACAAAGACTTCGTGCGAAGCTTTGTCTCACCCAATGCATTTTTTTCACCATGCTGTACCGATATAAAGTACTCTGACAACTACTTTTGTTGTTGGAACAAGACGTATGATAAGATCTTTATTCGAAGTGCTGATTAGCGAGAAATAATCCGGAATGTATCTCCTAGAATATGCAGCAACTGCATCGTACAGACTTCCTCTTTCCCACCACCGTGAAGATATAAAATCCCACTCAAATCCTCACATCCAGCTCCTCTCTCCCGAAAGTCACCAACATCAACCAGCCCAGGTTTTCCAAGACCTATTTCCAACTGACCAAGCACATTACAGCCATCTCACCGAGCTGACCAATCCAGGATTCCCTGCAGAATGGCCACCGAAGCTCCCACCGAGGGTCTCTTCGAGCGGTGCTCCTACACCGTCACGACGGACCTGTACCCCGACGACGAGGGCGTGGGCACGGCGATCGAGACGTTGCGCCTGTATGGCGAAGATCTCGAGGCCGCGGGCCCCTGGCCCAAGCTCGCCGCACGTCTGCTGCGCGAGCGCTGGGGCCGATACCCGCTCGTCGAGGGCAAGGCGCGCCGCCGCGCCGCGGTCGTCATCTGCCGCGACCGCGTGCGCATGTTCGTCGATGACCGCCCCGCCCGTCTGGCGCGGATCTTCGTCTTCCGGGATGAGATAGAGTGGCATGCGGACGGGTGGTACGAGCCCGTGTTGGAGGCCTTGACGGGCGCCCTCGCGGATCCGCGGAGGCCGTCGTCGCAGCTGCGCCGCGTAAGTTCGACGTTGGGGCCGCAGTAGGCGTGTTGGGGCTGGGTGCCTCTGGGTGGAGATGATTTTCTTTGGACGTAGCCAAGACTGCGAATATAATTCAAATATTCAAAAAGTTGAGTGAATAAGATAAGAGCGTAGAGTGCCATGGGCCTGGATATCGGGCGATTGTTGTAAGCTTTGGGTTGATATGACCCCCTTGTGTAGTATATGCCTCCGTGCTTTTGATTGCGTCTGAGATCTAGCGATAGTGGATTTTGAACAAGGCAAGTATGGAAGGACCACTGAAATGTTGATTTTCTTGTAGTCAAGATTTATCAAGAGATCGTGTAGTTCTGCTGTATCGAATTAGACAGTATAGGGTTCGTGGCACTGTCCCAATTGCCGACTTTGCTACTTCTCCAACATGCATACTTAGACTAGCTCGAAAGATATCACCGGGCACATGCTCTTCCTATAGACTGGACTTGTTGAGTTCATGCATGGCTTAATGACTTGCTGCTAGCCAAGCGAAGGGTCGATCTATCATGACCGGGTAGGAGCATAAGAGTGCGTGCTCATTAAGTGAATGGTGAGTGTGCATTGTGTACGCAGAGCTGTGCAAGTCCTCTACAGCACAATATCGCCGTAGTGTAACTTATCAGTCTCAGACATAAGCTCTTATAGGTGAAGAGAATTACTCCTAGTGCCAGTGTGCAATAAGTTACAAGCCTCACACACCACACACTGCATCTTGGTAGTCCTTGTAATTTTACTCTGTTGTCAACGTCATTATCCCGACCTCCGACCTCCGATGTCCGACTCGCCGCCGCCCCGTTTCCCACAATCTCAAATCCGTGCTATGGACGGATTTCAGCAAGAACATTTGTTTCCCCACAACAATCGCGCTGGGAATCCTACAAACTGGCTGAAACCGTAATACGTAACCTGTGGTGGATTGCGAACTCCCTGAATCTGGAGACCCCGCGCTTCTCCACACATCACCCCGGACTGATGAGGGTTTTGTGGGGATGACAGAGGGTGAAGCTTTCGCAAGCTGAGGCTAGACAGCTTGGACAGAGCCACTCTGCTGGGGTATGATCTGCTCAGCACAACCTCGGCGCAATTTCTCTCTCGCCCTCTGGCCAAGGCTTCCGGAAATGCACAGTTTTCGCCCAGAGTTTCAGGAATAGTACCTCACTCCATTCGCGAGTGACGTTGGAGAATTTTTCTAAACCAGCCGGCTCAACCGTTGATATCAAAGTCAAATCTTTCTGAGCCGAGGGACACTGTGGACTTGACCGTCGGAGAAGAGGCGATGACTTCCCGACAAGGACTAGTTCTACCCACGATCTGTGGGAATGGAGAGAAATGAAGAACCAGTTTGTGGGGCATCATGCAGCTTTCTGTCGGAGTTGCGAAGCTAGACTGACGATCGCACCTTTCTCATCAAGCTTCGGTCCAAGGGAAATGAGCATTGGCAGAAAAAAGGAGCCCGAAAATGATATAAAACGGTTTGTCCCATCTGTCAGGGCTGTTCATTCTGTCGCCAGCATCCTTGTCTCTCTACTCACTTCTTCTTCTCATTCCTCACACCCTCCATACAGAGATGCGTCCATCTGTCTGGGTCCCCTTGACGGGGCTAGCAGCACTCGGCCATGGAGCCAGCTTAAGCGACATCTGCACCACCAGCTACGCCACCACTGCGTTCCCGGCCACCGACCTCATCCCCGGCATCACCCTCGACCCCTCGTCCATCACCACCGCGCTCGTCACCAACAGCTCCGTCACGAGTGACTTCTTCCCCTCCTCCGTGATTGACTACTGCAATGTCACCTTCGCGTACTCGCACAATGGCCGCGACGACCAGGTCTATCTCCAGATCTGGCTGCCTGACCCCTCCATCTTCCAGAACCGGTGGTTGTCCACAGGCGGTGGTGGCTACGCGATCAACTCCGGATCCAACTCGCTTCCTGGAGGCATCATCTACGGCGCCGCGTCGGGTCTCACCGACGGCGGCTTCGGATCCTTCGATACCAACGCCGATGCCGCGATGCTGCTGGCCAATTACACCCTCGACTACGAGACCCTCTACATGTTCGCCTACAAGGCGCACTGGGAACTCACCAAGATCGGCAAGGCGTTCACCAGGAATGTCTACAATGTGACCGACGACGAGAAGCTGTACGCCTACTACCAGGGTTGCTCCGAGGGCGGTCGCGAGGGCTGGAGCCAGGTCCAGCGGTATGGCGACGAGTGGGATGGAGCTGCTATCGGCGCCCCAGGTAGGTCACTCCCCACTCCCTAACATCCCTTCCCGAGTCCAGGACTTGCTAACCCTCACC